AGGAATTTGAATTCAAATCCATGTTTGGGGATAGGGGTTAGGCTATGGAGAGAAATAACCATGCTTCCTAACCCATAAAACAAGCCTGGTGACACAGGATGCTGAAACCATTAATTATAAGTTCAAAAAGCTCTTTGAAGTTGAGGGACGCTGGCAGGAATTCAAAAAAGCCAGAGAAGGAGTATAAATGTTGATTGGGGGAGAAAATGGGGAAGTTCTACATGATCTTTATGTTTGATTTACTCAATCCCTTCACTGCCACCGCCCCCCTTCCTTTAGGAAATCCAAGTGGTGCCGCCCTACATCTCTCAATGTGGTTCGAATAATTACATCAGATCTGTATCGATCACTGGGGGATGTTCTCCGTGATGTTGATGCCAAGGCCTTGGTGCGCTCTGACTTCCTTCTGGTATATGGGGACGTCATCTCAAACATCAATATTACCAGAGCCCTGGAGGAACACAGGTCAGGATGGGAAAATGGTAGGGACAACGGTATGGGACCAGCAGAGCCCTAAGACCCTCTCCCTCCTATCCTTTGTAGGTTGAGGCGAAAGCTAGAAAAAAATGTGTCTGTGATGACAATGATCTTCAAGGAATCATCCCCCAGTCACCCAACTCGTTGCCATGAGGACAATGTGGTAGTGGCTATGGATAGTGCCACAAACCGGGTTCTCCATTTTCAGAAGACCCAAGGCCTTCGACGCTTTTCTTTTCCTCTGGTGTGTGGGTGTCTGGCTTTTTTGAAGTGGGAAAGTGACAGGATTCAGTGTGACTGGTTAAAATCCTTATAACTTCTCTCCACAGAGTTTGTTTCGGGGCAGTGGAGATGGAGTGGAGATTCGCTATGATTTACTGGATTGTCATATCAGCATCTGCTCTCCTCAGGTGAACCCTTCAGGGTCAGGGCTGCACATCAAAGAGTAGAACTCTGAGGATGTGGTACTTCCCTTCCCCGTCCCCAGAAGGCCAGGGGCATATTTCTACTCCCTCTTTCTCTAATTTGTTCTACAGCACATAGTTGCTGTCATCTTGACCCCAATATTGGGATTCTGGCCCTTGTCCCACTGTCATAGGTCTGATAGGTCTCTGGGGACTTATCTTTGCTTCCAGAGAATAGCACCTAACCTTGACCCCATCCAACTTCCTCCCATAGGTGGCTCAACTCTTTACAGACAACTTTGACTACCAAACTCGGGACGACTTTGTGCGAGGCCTGTTAGTGAATGAGGAGGTAAGAAAAGGCTCCCAGTGCCTCTTTGAAAGAGCACTAAGCCTGGCTGGGGAGTTCGGTTGGTTGAAGCATCCTCCCAA